ACTGGGTATTTGTGAAGGTGGACTAGACGTGAGGACGCTTGACCTGGGACTTATGTTAGTTATCTCTTGCTGCACCACAAATCAACCCCAAACTTAGCGGGCTTAAGAGAACATTTACTACCGCACTGTTTCTGTGAGTTGGGAATACTGGTGCAGTGTGGGTGATTTTTCCGTCTCAAGGTCTCTCACAGGCTGCAATCAAGGTGTTGCTTGGGTCTCTAGTCTCATCTCAAAGCTCGACCAGAGAAGGATCCCACTCATATGGCAGGATCCAGTTGGCCATCTGGAGCTGTTGGCAAGAGGCCACTCTGAGTTCCTTGCCCTTTGGACCTCTCTGTAGGGCAGCTCTCAACAGGGAAACTGGCTTCCATCAGAGCAGATGAGGTGAGCCAGTGACAGTGAGTGAACAAGACAGAAGTCATAGTATCTTACGAGTTCATCACGGATGGGACATCTCTCATTTTTGACACATTGCATTCATCACTGTGTCCAGTCCACACTAAAGAGGATTATACCAAGAAACAGGGATCATTAGGAACCGTGTCAAATGCCCACCACTTTCTGCCCTCTCGCCCCCGATAATGTACATCCCTTCCACATGCAAAATACATTCATCCCCTCCTAAGAGCTTTAAAATACTAATTCTATTAGAGCATCAGTTTAAAAGCTAGAATCTGGTCATATAAATCAGCTCCGGCTGTGGCTGAGGCTCCTCTCGTGTTTTTCCGTAAGTACAGCTTCTCAGATTCAATTCTTCTCCATCAGAGATCTGTGAAACTAAGCTATCTGCCCCGAACACACCTAACATACAATGGTGTGCGAGGCGGAGGCTAAGAGCCAGTAGCATTCCTATTCAAACTTGAGGAAAATGGAGACATGGAGTCAATGGCCCATAGCAATTTTGAAATCCAGCCACACAAACCTTGGACATTCCTTGATTGGGTCTCAAGGCCTGGGAGTAATTCTCCATGGCTCCCAGCCCCCGGACTCTTGCTTCCATTCTCTGACCTGTCTTTTTTAATTTTTATTGTTTTGTTCAATGATATCTTTTCATTTTTTCCTGTCTCTATCCCTTTTATCCCAAGCTGCCAGCATTTTGCTGATGTTGTATTCTCGACAATAAAACTTACAGGCGTTCACGCAACTGAACAAAAGCCACACCCCTTTTTAACTGGGGCTCCGGTTGAGGAGCCTTAAGCTTCCTAGAGGCCCTATGGTTCTGTGAAGAGGATGTATCAGGTGTGTCTTTAATCTCTTTAAAGTGCCCTTTGTGTGACCGAGTAATACCCTGATCCTTTGCTCTTTCTGAAGTTTTAACAACAGGTCGTACAGCCACACTCTTGGCCGTGCTTTCCAGACAGTCCTCTGAAGCCATCTCTTAATTTTAGCATCTTTTGGCATCTGGAGAGGGTGAGACTTCAGAACCATTAAGTACTGGCATCTTTAACACTCCCTTCTTCAATTCAGCTCCTTCCTCTCACATTTCACTACAAGCAGCAAGAAGAAACTAAGAGGCAACTACAATCTTTTGTTTGGAACCCTTTAGCTAAATCACTCAGTTCGTTAGTCACATAATTGCAGATGACAGTGTCGCCGTTTCTGCCACAACATAGCAAGGGCCTTTCTTCCACTATTTCTGGTAATGTATTCCTCACAGGCAGCATCTTCCAACTCCAGATTTCTGTTAGAAAGCAAACAAACAAACAAAGTGCTGAAGGAGATTTAGGCTTTTTTATCATGCTTCTCAAAATTCTTTTAGGCTCTACCCATTGCTTGGTTCCAAATTCAGTCCCAAATGTTTAAGTATTTGTTACAGTAACACCCCATTCTTGGTACCAGAATATGTATTAGCTATGTATCGCTGCAAAACAAACGATCATAAAGCTCAGAAGCTTGAAACTATGTGTTTAAAACAGTACAGATGTATAATCTCAGTTTATAGGGGTCAGGATCCCGACTTGGCTGGGTCCTCTGGTCCAGGATATCCCACAGGCTGTAACAAAAGTGTCATCCAGGCTGTGTTCTCATGTCAAGGCTCAACTGGGGAAGGATCCACTTTCAAGCTCATTTAGGTGTCAGGATTCATTCAGTTCCTCAAGGATTGTGGGACTCAGGGCTTCTATTCCTTATGAGCTTTTGCCACCTTCCGTGTCCTGCTGCATGGGCTGCTCCACAGGGCAGCTGAAAACATGGCATTTGCTGTCATCAGAATGAGCAAACCAAGGAGAGCCAGGGAAAGAGAGCAAATAAAACCAAAGTCACACATGTGATCTTGGAAATGACATCCCACCAGTTTTGTTATGTCCTTTTGATCAGAAGCAAGTCACCAGGCCCAGCCTACGCTCAAGGGGGGATGGGATCATACAATATGTGAATATCAGAGGGTAGGATTATTGGAAGTCATATCAGAAGTTTCACAATCATCGAACAACGATGAATTGTCAAAATTAACAGAGTGTTTTCCTTGGCAGTGTTTTCATTTTTTAATTTTTCCTAGAACTTGGTGCGAATTTTTTTTATTTCCTTGACAGTTTTTTGAGAAGAAAATTGACCTGGTGTCCACCTGTTTTTGAGCTTACCAGAAGAACAACTGACAGGGTGATCTTTAGCCACTATCCCTCTCTGGGCCTCAGTCCTTGAAGATCCCTTCCAGATCTGACTTGCTGTGTCCCTCCCTCCTTTATTACAAAGACACTTACCTTGTAATAGTGTCTGTATGACCAGATTTTATTTTATTTACTACAAAACTCACAAAAACCTGGCAGGGGAGCCCACAGGGATAAAGGAAGATAATATAAATTATAAAAAAGAGGCCGGGTACAGTGGCTCACACCTGTAATCCCAGCACTTTGGGAGGCTGAGGTGGGTGGGTCATTTGAGGCCAGGAGTTAGAGATCAACCTGGCCAATATGGTGAAACCCCGTCTCTATTAAAAATAAAAAAATCAGCCGAGCATGGTGGCACACACTTGCAATCCCAGCTACTCGAGAGGCTGAAGTGGGAGAATCACTTGAACTTGGGAGGCGGAGTTTGCAGTGAGCCGAGATCACGCCGCTGCACTCCACTGTCACCCACAGCCTGGGTGACAAGAGTGAGACCCTGTATCAAAAAGAAAAGAAAAAAAAGAAAAGAAAAGAAAAAGATCACATGAGAAAATGGAACACAAACACGAAAGCCAGAGAGACTTATGAAGCTACCCCTCTAATATGACCCAAAGGCCTTAGAGAGAAGACTGAGTTTACATCAGAGCAAAGTGTGGGTTCCTGCTCTTGGCTTTCCTGAATGGCAGCTAAGCTGCTTCCCTTCCCTGACTATGAATGACTGGTCAGCAAATGGATACAACCCTATTTGCAGGAAGAGAAATGGTTGCCAGGCTGGGGACAGGTGCAATGGGCTTCAGCCAGGGGCCTGCCAGGATCTCTGAGGGTGGTGGCGGTGGGGGAGAGGAGGAGGAGGAGACAGAAGGAAAAGATTATGAAGGAGTAAAAGGAGCCCAGGGTCCAAGGCTGCTTGAAAGGCCCCTGAGGACGGGTGGGATGGGGTGGGGGTGGATGGCCAGGGCTTTTCAGAGAGGGCAAGAGCCTGCAGAGGTCCTTGGCAGCCCTTGCCAAGGGTGATGACTGGTTAGGGCAGAGGCTTCATGGGTCTGGGCAGCGCCAGAGGGCACCAGGAGCAGCTAAGAATCTCTGGTCGGGGCAGGCAGACAGCCACAGGCCTTCCTGTTCAGCTGCCAGCTCATCCTCGTTCACAGAGACTTTGTGTGTCATCTGAGATGATGAAACGTGGTGCTTTGTTTACAGGATTAACCCTGGAATCACCTGTCCCACAGCAAGAGGCTATGGAGCTGGGCCATCGGCCAGGTAGGACGGGTGGGCCAGAGACGTGCACATTCAGGTTTCTGGAGGGACTCCCCTGGGGCGGCAGGGAGCAGGCCCTTCCTCCTCCCCTCAGTCTTGCGTTGGCTTCCAGACCCACTGTCGGCCTTGGCTTCCTAGGGGGCATTCTGTAGGAAGACAGAAGGAAAAAGGAGGGAACAGAATTACTGAGTCCCCCATCCTGCCATGTGTAGGAATTGTCACCCCAATATGGTCCCCATCCTGAGAGAGTGACTCCTGCTCTGAGTCCTGTGTGCACCAGAAGAACAGGGCTGTGGGGAAGCATGGGGGTGGCCCGATCTCAGTGGGAGGGAGGTTCATACGGGGTCACATGTAAGCCAAGACCAGGGGTGGTATAGCTCAGGAGCAGAGGAGAATGCTCCCGGCAGGGGTAACCACTCAGGCAAAGGCCTGGAAGGGAGAGACGGCTGGCACTTTTGTGGAGCCCCGAGAACAAGAGGAGGGATTGCAATGCAGGAGTGAATGGGTTCAGGCCTGCTCTGAGAAGGGTCCCCAGGGGTGAAGGGTGAGGGGTGGCTGGGGCTGGCAGGTGAGATGGGGAGAAGAGCGTCCAGTGAGCTGGGGCAGCACCCCTGCTGAAAGTTTCCTGCAATGACCTGAATGCCCTGGGGCCTTGTTAAACACTCAGATTCAGGGCCTTTCTGATGCAGCAGCTCTGAAAGGGGCCCAGGAATCTGTATTTTTAGCGAGTGCCCAACAGAATTCTGATACACGGCCACATTTAGATAACCCTGCTGACTGATCATTTGATCTTCATAATAGCAGATGAAGCAGGGTGGACTCTGCCCGTTTCACAGCCGAATGAATGGAGTAGAGGAAAGGTGCAGTTGCAATGAGATTCTTGAAATGTCAGATGCAGGTCTTCATTCATTCCTGCATGCATTCATTCATTCATTCACTGATATTCAACCCTGAGAGGATGGGGTTGGCCTGCTCAGCTCACTGTTGTGTCCGCGTCACCTGGCACAGCCCCTGACACACAGCCGGTTCTTGCTCAGTTGATGCGTTGGTGAATATACTGGCTCTCTGGGCCAAGAATGCAAGACACATTTGGGCCACAAATGTGCCCATAACCCCAAAGGACAGGCTGAGGGTGAGCAGGCAATGGCTACAGCATGTGCTGATAGAGGAGACAGCATAGCACTGGCTGTCCTGAGCCTGAATCCAGGAGGGTCCTGTCCCTGCACTGAGCCTCAGTCTCCCCAGAAGCAGGGTGAGAGGGGCTGAGGCTGATCAGGTGGGTGGTCTTCCCACTCTCCGCTTCTGCTCTTTTGAGGAGGGTCACCATGCCCGTCCTGACAGTCCAGCTGTCCCCAGAGGTGCCCCTCTGCTTGGCTGCCTGCTGGTTGGGGCAGAGCGCAGCATAGGAAGGAAGGCAGTCTGGTCTTGGGGAACAGGTTTTCCCTCTGTAGGTTGTGTTGCTGACAAAGAGCCATGGACAAAGGCATGGAGAGGAAGGAAGGCGAGGGGAAAGTGGGCAGGGAAGCAGAGAAACCTCAGCTCTCTGTCTCCCGCCACACTGGGGAAGGGTCTGCAGTCCCCTGCGGAGTAGGCGAGAGGGGCCCTCCCCGAGCTCCATCACTTGAGCAGGGACCCCTGGGAGTGAAATAAAAACCCCAGTGGCTGGCGAAGCCCGACGCTCATGGCAACCTTCTCTGAGAAACTAAACTGGACCAACCTGTGTGTTCCCCGTGGGGCGGTGGTGGGGCCCTGAAGTGCTGGAAGGGAAGTTAGGGCTGTCTCCACTGTCTTGAGTAGATCCCCAAGGCAGGGTGGTACATTGAACAGCAAGTTACAAAGTAACGCATGACTCTGATCTCATTCATACACGACAGTGAAACAAAACTATGTATCTTTTCTTTTGAGACAAAGTTTCACTCTTGTTGCCCAGGCTCCAGTGTAATGGCATGATCTGGGCTCCCCACAACCTCCGCCTCCCAGGTTCAAGCAATTCTCCTGCCTCAGCCATCCGAGTAGCTGGGATTATAGGCATGCGCCACCATGCCTGGCTAATTTTTGTATTTTTAGTAGATATGGGGTTTCTCCATGTTGGTCAGGCTGGTCTCGAACTCTCGACCTCAGGTGATCTGCCCACCTCAACCTCTCAAAGTTCTGGGATTACAGGCATGAGCCTCCGCACCTGGCAAAGCTATGTATCTTTTAAGAGGCCTGGAGGACTTGTCTGAAGGTTTTGGAGGGAAGATCACCAAACACATTTACACCTGTAATCTGGGGTAGAGGGTGGGGCCAGGCTGTGAGGAGACACCAAGGCTGAGAACAAGAGACCCAGAGGAGCGGAGGCCGTGGGGAGGAATGTGGGAGACGGAGGAGGTGGGGAGGAGAGAGCCTGGGAGGGGGCTGGGATGGCGCCACTTCTCAGCCCTGGAGAAGGGAGGAGGTGGGTATTGGGGAGCAGCCCTGCATTGGAAGCAAAGTCTGGGGGTTCCATCTAACTCCAGTACTTCCCAGGCATGTGGCTTGGCCCCAGGAACACCTCGGTCAGTGCCACTGCTGCCCGATTCTCACCAAGGGGAGGAAGGGGGAAGTTTCAAGATGGAAAACTGGGGAAGGAAACTCTCCAAATGGTGCTGGGGACACGAAAGCGCAGACAGGCCAAGTCCCTTGCTTGCGGTCACACAGCTCGGCCTCAAGGCGGGCCTGGGCTCCAGCCCTTGTTGCCCCAGGCAATGTGGACTAACCCTGCCAGTGGGAGGCGTGGCGGGCTGACCTCTCTTCTCCCTCGTGTCTCCTAATATCCCACCCATGCTTCTGGTTTCTGGGCTTTCTCTCTGTCCCTCTCTTCTTTTCTGGCTCTGGAGTTCTGGGGCTCTGTGTCTGTCCGTTCCCCTCCTCACCCCACCTCTGCCCCTCTCCCCACCCTCACTTTCTGCCCTTGTCTGTTTTTCTCTCTCCCTTCCTCTCTGTTTCTCTTTATCGTGTTCAGGTACAACTGGTTTAACCAGTGCCCATCTGAATGATGAGAAGGGCCAGCAGGACACGGACCCCTGGAAAACGGCCTGCAGTTCCTCGGACACCTCCAACTTCAAGTACCAGGGTCTGTCGTCCCCACAGCCCCTGCCCCGGACAGCCAGCACTCAAGGCAGCTCTCTAGGGCAGTGCCACTTGGAGGAGGTGCCCCCTCCACCCCCAACTGCTGCCAGCAGGTATTCTCTGGGGATGGACCCACAGTCCAGGTCCCTGAAGAACGGGGGCTCTCGATCCTCCTCGAGAGAGAACAGGGCCACCTTGAGAGAGGGGTCTCAGCCATGCCAGGGGACAGATGAAGGTCCCAGCTCGGGAACCCAGGACCAGAGGAGCACACCCATGAGCCAGAAAAGCAGCATAATTCCTAACAACATTCGCCACAAGTTTGGAAGCAACGTGGTGGACCAGCTGGTCTCCGAGGAGCAGGTATCAAAGCAGGGGCCAGGAGGGTGATACAGAGTCTTATAATGAGGACACAAGACAAACTCGCTCTTGAGTGCAGAGTCCCTATGATATTACCACTAGAAAGCAGTATCTCCTGAGCACCTGCTGTATGCAGGCCCTGTTCACTGTTTAAACTCTTCACATATAACAAGCTGTTACATTTGCCCCAAAACCCATGAGGAAGGTACGTACTATTAGTGTCCTCATTTTACGGATAAGGAGCCCAAGGCTTACAGGGTGAAGTAAGTCAACCAAATGCCCTCAATTGTGTGAGAAGAGGTTGCAAACTGGGTTGGCAGATTCTGAAACTCTGACCCTTAATGACTTCGCAGTTAAAAGCCTTTGGTGTGAATGGGGTGTTTTCCGCTTGGACAAGTCTCCCAAGAAAGACAGCTTTTAGTGGATGGAGAGCATTTATTGGGAATCAGAAGAGCTGGGTTGCAATCCTGGACCTGGTCCTAAATGCTGGGTGACTTTGGATATGTTACTTACCCTCTCTGGGCTTCAGGCTCCACACCTGTAAAGCAAGGACTAGATTAGGCTGACAAATACATGGTGTGCACATCACCACGCTCCCAGCCTGCATTCATGGCAGACATTGCTAGTCGATGCTCGCACTCTTTTCCACCCAACATAGCATTCTAGGCAGTCACTACGAATCAGCGGAAACTCGAGATCAAATCCATCTACCATTTCTGGTCAAATGCTGTGTTCTTCCTGCCCTGGCATTCTGAGACATATTTTCAAAGCCACCGTCTCAACCCTCATCGCAACTGCATTGTGTGGAGGGCCAGGCGGGAGCTATTGCTTCTTTTTCACAGATGGTATAGCCAAGGCCCAAGGAAGGGGCTATGATTTGCTTGGGTCACAGCTTCTCCCAGGCTCCCCTTCCACTCTGTCATCTTAAAGTGTGGTGACCCCACCACCAACAAGTCTGAGAGGTCACAATCTTAACTCCCCTGCCCCACTTGGACGAGGCTGTCCCCATTTGCCGTCGAGTCTGTGGTCACTACGTCTCACTGCCCTGCCCAGCCTTGGGAGATATCATTTCTTTCTTCAGCCACCAACGTCCCAGGCTCAAATGAAGAAATCTGTGTTTCTCTGCCCACCTGTGACTTATGTCACAAATGTCATTGAGCCAGCGAGTGTCAGGGCTGGAAGCCACTTCAAAGACCATCCAGTTTTACCCTGCATTCACATTTTACAAGTAGGCAAACTGAGGCCTAGAAAGGAGAAGAGGCTTGCCAGAGTCAGCAGCTAGCATATTGCAGAACCGGAACTCGGACGCAGGTGTCCTGCCCCTGGGCCTGGGCTCAGCTCAGGGAACATCCAGTCCCCTGCCAAGTCTGTCCTTGATGTGTGGATGATTCGTCCCAGCTGGCAGTCAGCCCCTCATGCCCCTAGACACCTCTGGTTTCTTCCTTCCTTGGTTTCCTTTTTTTTTTTTTTTCCCCCTGAGCGTCAGTTTCCCTACTAGTATGAAGAGGGAATTGGCCTCACTGAAAGCTAAGCACCCACCCGGAGCTTCCCTGTGTGATGCCTCCATTGTAGGAGGCAAGCCAGGGCTCTGTGGCCTGCCAGCCACGTGAACTGGGTCATCTCCTGAGGTCCACTTTCCTCCTTTATAAAATGGTGGGAATAGTGGGACCCTATAGAGACACCCCTCCTCCCCACCCTGACACACAATGCTGCACATAGTAGGTGCTCATGCTTGGAAGAGGTTTTGTGACTGTTAACGTGATGCCTCCTGCCCGCTGTGGAGGTGGTGAGGGGGATTGGGGCTGCGGTCTTTGAATACTCCAGCTCCCCAGCCCTGAGAATAGGTTGAGGGCTGCAGGCTAAAGGTGGGATGGGGGTGGGGAGGGAGCGTCAGGGGAGGAGGAGCTGGAGGGAGATATGGGCTTGACACTGCTTTCCTGTCCCCTGTCTGTTGTCCCTGCCTCCCTGCTCAGGCTCAAAGGGCTATCAGTGAAGTCTTCCAGGGCCAGAAGAAGGCGAGCTCATGGCCCAGCAGGAAACAGAGTCCTGCGGAGATCTCCTCCATCTTCTCAGACTACTATGACCTCGGCTACAACATGCGGTCAAACTTGTTTCAAGGTCAAGTCAAGGGTCAAGGGTGGGGCTGCGATCACTCACGGCCTCCCAGCCATTGGGCAGGGAAGGCCTTTCGGATATCCACTCCTTGCAGGGTCTAGGGCCCCTGGGCACATCTCCACAGACACTTAGTTCATGCCCACGCGTCCTCTATGTCAGCTTGCCCGTGCTGGGAGCATCCAGTCCCCTGGCAAGTCTGTCCTCGATATGTGGATGATTCGTCCCAGTTGGCAGTCAGCCCCTCACACCCCCAGACACCTCTGGTTTCTTCCTTCTTTCCTTCCTTTGTTTCCTTTCTTTTTCTTTTTTGTGGAGTCTCACTCTGTTGCCCAGGCTGGAGTGCAGTGGCATGATCTTGGCTCACTGCAACCTCCACCTCACAGGCTCAAGCAAGTGAACTTCTCACCTTAGCCTGCCCCCACAAGTAGCTGGGACCACAGATATGTGCCACCACACCTGGCTAATTTTTTTCTTTTGTATTTTTGGTAGAGACAAGGTTTTACTATGTTGCCCAGGCTGGTCTCGAACTCCTGAGCTCAAGTGATCCACCCGCCTCGGCCTCCCAAAGTGCTGGGATTATAGGCATGAGCTACTGAGCCCTGACCACCTCTGGTTCTTAATCTGCCAGTAGAAGGCCCAGGACCCAGTGGAAGGGCCAGGACTGCCGCTTCCCACCCCCCGCCCATCCCAGGCAACTTTGGTCAAGAAACTTGACGATATCAAGTTTCTTTGGTTCAAAGCTCAGCTCAGCCACTCATTAGCTGGGTGTGACTTTAGGCAGAATGCTCAATCTCTCCAAACCCCCACTGCCTTCTGGGTACAGTGGGGATGATAATGAGAGCGTGGCCCTTGCTGGGCCATTGGCAGGACTTTATGAAGTGCCACATGAAGGCACTTGGCCGAGGCAAGTTGTGAGCATTCAGTAGCTGTCTGGCCATCATTTTTCTTCTCCACAGCCCCGAGGTGACACCCCCTGGGAAGAACGAAAGGGTGGGTTGGAGGCTCTGACATTTACAGAGGTCTCCATTGGGTCAGCGTCGTCCTGTTTGGGTGGGGTGGAGGGAGTGCTATTAGCCCCATTTCACGGGCAAAGTTCAGATGATTTGCTGTAGACCTCTTACGAGTTGGCATTGTGTCTGGAACTCAAAGCCAGGTGTTCTTTCTGCCTCCAAAGCCTCACAGCCTTTCCTCAGCCACTAAGTCATCTCCCTAGCTATGACCCTGTTCCCAGCATCTTCTGGATGGCTCAGATGCCCATGACAGCCAGCACGAGGCGCTTCTTTCTGCTCCCACATTCTGGTTTGACCTCATTGCGAAATGAGGCTCTTTCTGGTGAGATCCTTCCTCTTTCCTCACTCCATGCCCCCCCAGCGCTCCCAGGGCCTGACAAACCTCCTTCACCTGGCTCAGATCCCTGTCACCCGAGGAACCAGACACCCAGTGGAAGCCTTTCTGGATTTTTCTTTGAGCTTGGAGAAGGGGTGGTGCTGAGGGTGGAAAGCGAGAATATAGTTCTGCTTTTCCTCTGTTCTGGGCCTTCCATTTCTCTCTTTAACAACTATCAATCACCAAATAGCTATTCCATACAACTGTGTATGATAATGTCTACATAAATGCAAAAGAATATTATTTTAAAAAATGTCTGTGTCCCATCACCCCGCCTGGGAAGTAGAGCTGCTGGAGCACACGGCAGCTTGGGCCAGCTCACAGGAGGCAATTGTTTCCCTGAACTGACTGGCATATAAATGCTATCTTAAAATTGGCCATGCTACGGAGAAACCCTGTCTCTACTAAAAATACAAAATTAGCTGGCCATGGTGGCGCATGCGTGTAATCCTAACTACTCGGGAGGCTGAGGCAGGAGGATCGCTTGAACCCAGGAGGCAGAGGTTGCGGTGAGCCGCGATCATGCCACTGCACTCCAGCCTGGGAGGCAAGAGCAAAACTCCATCTCAAAAACCAAAACAAACAAACAAAACAAAACGCTTGGAAATTGGCAAACGCTATGAACCAGGGCTTCACCCTGAGGCACGGTGCCCATTCATCTGTCCCTCTCTGCCTTCAGCCACCCGGGGTTAGCCTTTGCATTTGCAGTTTGAGGTTGGTGAGGCTGGCATGGCTGCACAGGAGTGAGGGGGAAGAAATCAGAGGAAATAGGCTGGGTCCTGAAGCCTGCTGGAAACCAAGCCAGGGTTCTAAGCAGGAGAATGGCCCTGTCTGGCTCAGGTGAAAGGCTCACTCCAGCTGCTATGGGGAGAATGGACATAGGGAGCTGGGGCAGAAATGGCTTGGAGGCCAGGTTAGTGCACTGCCCCATTTTGGAAGGCACCATTGTGCAATATAGCAGCTCAGGGAGGTAATGGTGAAGGTGGCCTGAGGTAGTAGGATTTTGGATATTTGTATGGAGCAGAGAGAAGAGAATATGCTCATAAATAGACTTTGGGGTGAGAGACAGAAATGAAGGTTGATGTCAACGTTTTTGACCTGAACAGCTGGAAGGATGAAATGGCTACTGGGCGGGGGTGGGAGGGCGCGGCTGAGGGAATCCTATCCTCTGCTGAATCATAGAGGTCATCTTGTATACCTTCTTCTAAAATATTTAGTTTTGCTTTTTCACATTTAAGTCTTTAATCCACCTGGAGCTGATTATTGTTTTTAGTATGAAGTAGGGATTCATTTTCAATTCTTTCTGTGGATTACTGATTGCCTCAGTGCCTTTTACTGAATGGGCTCATCTTTCCTCCCAGTGCCCTGCAGTGGCATCCCTGTTATCCATCAGGTCTCTGTGTGTGCATAGATCAGCTTCCAGGCTCTCTATTCTGTCCATTGGTCTAACGTTACACTTTTAATCACTAAGCTATTACAGGTAGCCTGATATCTGCCAGGCAATCCTCCCACTGCCACCCCTCCACCACCATCACCGGTTAATGTCTTGGGTGTCTAGGCCCTTTGCTCTTCCATAAAAATGTTGTTAATATATGGAAATTTCCATGAAAAACCCTGATGGGATTTTGATTGGAAGTACATTGAATCTACAGCTCAATATAAGGGCTGTTGCCAGCTTTATAATGAATTTTCTAATATATGAATAGGGTTAATTTAAGTCTTCCTTCGATATCTCTCAATAACATTTTGTGATTTTTTTCTGTAAACATTATGCAGGTTTTTTGTTAGACTTATTTATATGAATCTCTTTATTTTTGCTGCTTATTGCAAATAATATCTTTTTCAGAATTACATTTTCCAATTTTTCTGCTGATACTGTATACACAGATGCAATTTTTATTTTTGTATATTAATCTCATATTCAGAAACTTAATGACGCTTACCAATTAACTCCAATAATTATTTATAGATTATGACTGCTTTTGAATAGTAATAATGGCTACATTTATGCATAGCATTTAACATATGCCAGGTACTGCTCTAAGTACTTTATATATATTTTATTCTCCACATGAACCCCATGTGGTAAATGCTACAGTTCCCGTTTTGTTTTCAGATAGAAAAAAAACTAGACGTGGAAAAATTAAATAACAATTAAGGCCACGGAGGTAGGAATGGTTAGAGTTGGGATTTAAACCCTGCCAGTCAGAAGCTGACATTTAAATTCTTAACCACTAGGCTTTTCTCATCTGGCTGGCCTGACTGGGACAGGTGTATATATAAGGAGGAAAAACAGGCTTCCTTTTCTCCTTCTTGATTCTAACATTACACCCTTAAATATAATTGTATTAGTTCGTTTTCACACTGCTGATAAAGATATACCCGAGATTGGGTAATTTATAAGAAAAAAGAGGTATAATGGATTCACAGTTCCACGTGGCTGGGGAGGCCTCACATCATGGCGGAGGGGGAAAGGCATATCTTACATGGTGGCAGACAAGACAGAATGAGAACCAAGTGAAAGGAGTTTCCACTTATAAAACCATCAGATGTCATGAAATTTATTCACTACCATGAGAACGGTGTGGGGGAAACTGCCCTGTGATTCAATGATCTCCCACTGGGTCCCTCCCACAACACATGGGAAGTATGGGAGTTATAATTTAAGGTGAGATTTGTGTGGGGACCCAGCCAAACCATATCAATAGTATTTATTATTTTTTATTTAAAAATTATTATTATTTTAGACAGGTTCTCACTCTGTTGCCCAGGCTGGGGTGCAGTGGTGTGGTCATAGTTCACTGCAAATATAATATGTAAAAAAAATTTTTTGAGACAGAGCCTTGCTCTGTTGCCCAGGCTGGAGTGCAGTGGCACAGTCTCGGCTCACTGCAACCTCTGCCTCTCAGGTTCAAGTGATTCTCCTGCCTCAGCCTCCCACGCAGCTGGGATGACAGGTGCCCACCACCATGCCTGGCTGTTTAAAATTTTTAGTAGAGACGGGGTTTCACCATGTTGGCCACGCTGGTCTCAAACTCCACACCTCAAGTGATCTGCCTGCCTCAGCCTCCCAAAGTGCTGGGGTTATAGGCGTGAGCCACCACACCCAGCCTACGATTCTTGAATCAGAGTCTTCCCATCTTTCAAGTGTGAAAAGATTTCACCTATTATGTTTCCAAATATTGCTTCGGTCTATTTTCTCTAGTGTTGCCTTTTAGAACCAGTGAGATGTATGTTGGCCGTTTTAATTTAACCTGCATCTTAGCGCCTCTTTCATCATATTCTTTTCTCTATATTGCATCCTAACGTTCATTTATTCCGGGATATCTTCCAGTTTGCCATTTTCTCTCAGCTGTATTTGATCTGCCGTTTTACCTGTCCATTGAATTTATTTTTAAACTATTATGATGGCAATTTTCAAACTTATGGAAAAGAAAAGAACTTAGTTTATAAATAGATGTTGCACCCACCACCCAGCCTCAACAGTGATTAATACACAGGCGATCTTGTTTCATCTTTTCTCCCACCCGTCCACTCCTACCCAAGATTATTTAAAGCAAGCCCCAGGCATCTTATTATCCATGGAGTTTAATTTTTTCAATTATCATATGTTTCATTTCTGAAATTCTGTTTGCTTCTCTTACTAATCTGTCTGCTGTTTCTGGATGGTTTCTTATTCCTTGTTTATATTTTTATTCTCTCTTACGGCTTCAAACATTAAATATACTTATTTCGTATTCTGTATTGGATCATTCAGATCTTTGCTAATTTGGGAGAGTTCACCTCTGGCATTTCTGCTGAGTCTTGATTATTGCAACGTATTTGCTTGTGTGTGTTTGAATTTTGAACACAGAGACAAGTTTGCTTAAGTTACAGGTATGAGTTTCCACTTGCTAGATGCTCTGATGTATGTCCAGTAATTTTGTCTTCCCAATCATGCAAGAAAATCTCATTTCTTTATATAGATGAAGACACCAAAGCTAAGAGAGGTTAAAAACTTCTCTGAGGTCATACTGCCCATAAATGATGGAGTTTGGCTTTACTTTAAAATCCTTCCCACTCCCCTTCCCTTCCACAATTTACCATCCGTAGAGGAAACTGACACCCAATATAAACAATGGAGTATCTGATTGCCATTGACTTGGGCACTTGGGGTTTCTTCATGGTATTCCACAGGGGCTCCTGAGGAGACAAAGAGCCTCATGAAGGCTTCCTACACCCCAGAGGTCATTGAGAAGTCAGTGCGGGACTTAGAACACTGGCATGGCAGGAAGACGGATGACCTGGGTAAGTGGGGAGCTGTCCCCCATGGGCAGGGTGTGTTGGCTCTACGGTTCAGAGAGAAACCAGAGCGGGAGACAGAGCCAGGGGTGGATTTGGAAGGGGCATGAGTCATCACCTGGGCACTCCAGACACTGCTGGATGATCTGATCTGTGCTGGCTCCTTTCCTGCTCTCTGTAGGTCGGTGGCACCGGAAAAATGCTATGAACCTGAACTTGCAGAAAGCACTGGAAGAGAAATATGGAGAAAACAGCAAATCTAAGAGCTCAAAGTACTAGATTTGACATGGTAAAGGTGTCCACTACTCAAATAAAATGTTAACAATAAGGAAAGGCTCAAGTCTGAGTCCTTCTCCTGAGCTTGCTGCCTTTCTTCACATTGGAGTGGGGACCGATTGCGGGGTTGGAGGGACCAAATAGGGGAAGATAGAAGCCTTGGGGGTCCAAACGATCCCCTAGTCCTCCCTCCTGCACACACATGCACACACACACATACCTTCACCCACTATCCCAGGAAAGGACATGAGCGTGACTCTGTCTCAAGCTCAGGATGCCTGGCTCCTCCCACATGCCCTATGTGAAAGGGGTCCTCTAGTGGACACTGCTGGATCTTACCCTGCATACTCTCCCTAGGAGATGCCAATTCTTTCCAGACATCCACTCCTCCCCCATGAGACACAGATTTCAGAGGAATTGGCCACACACATTTCCTCCAATCTAGTGGTGGGTCTGATTGCTCTCATGGTAATACTTAGCTCCCACCCCAACCGCACCTCTCACACATGATTGGTTCTGTCATGGGCATGGGATTCAATTTGGGCCAATAAGATGTAAGGAAAGGTGTGGGCATGTGCAGCCTTCTGGGAAATTCTTTTCTCTGCTGGGAATGCGGGGAGAGCATCCATCTCTCCTGATGTAATGAATGAGGAACCATGCAGCCCAGACTGCTCCTGGCAGACATCTAAGACCAGAGGAACTGCAGACTGTGCAGCACATCCTAGATCCTCCATGGCTTCGCTGAGCTGCTCCATCAACTTGGCTAGAAGCCGCTGGTCTCTGGACTTCCTGTAATGTGATCCTGAGTATCTCCTCATTGTTTAAGCAGCCAAAAGCATCCTCAGCCCATAAGAACCCTGGCAATTGGAGCCCCAGGGAAGAGTCCCAAGATAATGGGTTCTAAGCCAGACAGTTCTGTTTTCCAGCTGATCTGAAGCTTTTCACCTGGTGAGCCTGTAAGCCCGCAGCACCCTCCATCCCAATATCACTGACTTGCCCCCTCAGAATGTGCTCTACCTATGGGTTGTTATTTGCTGTGTTCCAAACCACAGTACCAAGACTTGTGGGCTTAAAACGACATGATCCATAATATGCTCATGATTGAGCAATTTAGGTAGGGATCGGCAGGTACGGTTCATTTCTGTTCTGTATAGCACCTGCTGTGAAGACACCTGCTCCTCTCCCATGCCTAGTGCCTCAGCTGGGGTGAGTACCACAGTGAAGAGCTGGCTGATCATCAGTATTTCTTGTGGGACCTTTCTTTGTGGCTCACTTGAGCGTCTTCCGGAATGGGGACTGGGTTACAAGAAGGAGACTTCTGAGGGGACAAGATTAAATGTGCAATGGTTTATCAAGCCTTGCACTGGCTTGTCAATGTCTCTGTGGCCAAAGGGACATATGGCCAAGCCCAGACTTTGTGAGAGGGGACTACATAACAGTATTACTATATGCAGGAATGATTCACTGGAGAACTCAAAATAATAGTTTTTCCCGGTGGTTATCTTGCTTTTGAAAGATCAAAAGTGAAAGGAAGAATCAAAATCACCACCAGGAAGAAAAGCAGACATGTTCCAACCTCTCCCCCAACTGCCCCTCCTCCCACAAAAGGGAATGACTTTTTACTTTTTTTTTCTTTTTCTTTGTTTTTGAGACAGAGTCTGGCTCTGTTGCCCAGGCTGGAGTGCAATGGTGCAATCTTGGCTCACTGGTAACCTCTGCCTCCTGGGTTCAAACTATTCTTTTGCCTCAGCCTCCCAAGTAGCTGGGATTACAGGCATGCACCACCATGCCCAGCTAATTTTTGTATTTTTAGTAGAAATAAGGTTTCACCATGTTGGCCAGGCTGGTCTCAAACTCCTGACCTCAAGTGATCCACCCACCTCGGCTTCCGAAAGTGCTGGGATTACAGGCGTGAGCCACTATGGTTGGCCAGGAATGACTTTTTAAAGATAGGATTGGATCAGAATGCAATACGGGGAAGTGAATCTGACTTAACATTTATCAAGCATCTAATTGTGTGCAAAGTGCAGAGTTGAGTTCAACTTCTTTATTGGGTACCTAATTTCTGCAAGACACTGTTTCTGGCACTGAAAACACTAGACTTTGTCTTCATTAACTGCTATGTGCCCATCACACGTGGCACCTGAAAATAAGTCACCCAAAGTCTTGTGACTAAAGCAGACTCTGTGCTGTTCTGACATAGAAATGAAAATGTGGCAAACGCATATGGTTATGTACCACATGGTTTCTATATGCAACTGTATTTCATCCTTACGCCAGTCCTCAAAGCTGTCTTCATCCTCTTTATGAAGGTGAGGAAACTGAGGCTTGGAGAGGCCAAGGAAATGATACAATACGATATGCACAGGAAGCAGGGATGCAAACCCAGGAATTTCTAACCAAAGCCACTTCTGCTCTATCAGGCAATCATCCTGCAGCGTATGTAGTACAACGGTGCTGTGCCTAACAGGGTTGAGTGTTTGTGGTACTTGTTGACTAAGCACCACACTCAGCCCTGTTAGGCACAGAGGGAGCAGCAATGTGAATGCAATACAGTCCAGTCCTCAGAGCTTTACAGTCTGCAGGAGAGTGCTGTGGAAGAAGCTGGCTTAGAGACTTATCTCCCCATCATATGCCCCTGCCCAGCCCTGATCAACGAGCTGTACATGCAAAAATGAATAAGACATGGTGCCTGTCCTCAAGGAGTTCAGAGTCTGGTGGGGAGACAGATGTATCAGTAAATAGATGATCAGAAGTCGTACACAGGCAGTGAGATGTTCATGTGGGGCCAGCAAAAGCACAAAGGAGAACGTGGTTAGTTCTGCCTGGGATGGGATGGGGTGCTGGTCACATGGTAGGCTTCCTAGAGGAGGTGGTTATAAAGATGAATCATGGACCATTAGTAAGGATATTCAGGTGGTCTGGAAGAGGCACAGCATTCCAGACAGAAGACATGGTATGCATGAAGCTGGAGCATGATGTATTTGGCAAGCCCCAGGTAGGGCTCCAAGCTTAGGAGGTAAGAAATGCAGATGGAGTCTATGCCTGGATGGGGCTGTCTTCTGTGGGGGCCTTAAATTTGAGACCCAGACCTTCCTTCTAGGACTTTACAGTCTGTCTGGAACACAAAGAGTTAATGACTAAAGAAGCCACACAGAGAGTTGAAAAGATGCTCATTATCCCCAATAATCAGAGATGCAAATGAAAACAATCCATCAGGTTGGCAAAAATCAAAACGCAAGTGTAGGTGAGAATGAGGGAAAGGAAATTTTTGTATGCTTGATCAATTATGAGCCAAGAATGGTGAGTGAGTATTTAGCAAAATTGAAATTGTATCCTACAACCTGCGATTTCCATTTCTACATAGCCTAGAGAAACCGTTGAACATGCACACAGGGAGCCCAGGCAAAGATCTCTATTGCCGTGTAGTTTAAAACAGTAAAACAACCTACATGCCTTTTAGCTGGACAGTGGACAAATGGGATGATTTATGGCAGCGGAAACAAATGAACCACATCTGCATTTGTCGTCATGGAAAGATCTCACAATATATCATGGCGGGTGAGAATGATAATCTCCAGAACGAGCCCCCACAGCAGGAAATGTACTGTCGATGTAGCCTTCAAAAGGCACCCACAAAGCCTCTCTATTGCTCATGGGTATGGGTATGGAAGATGGATGGGAAGGATGCCACAGAAACCCAGCTTCGCATTACATTTAATTTAGTACTTTTCAGAGGCAGCTTTACGAGAGAGAGCTGCCAAAATGCTTTCTGATGATGCAACTAAGATACTAGCAAGAGTGTCTGAGAAACACAGTGTTGGTGAACTGATCTAAAGTTAAGTGAGCAATTTCAATTTTGACATATGAGAACAAATGTCTCATGTTTTATGACTTTGTCTCTGTTAAAGATTCATCCTCAGAAAGAGGAACCCTTTTTAATTAAACATTGAATATTCGGGAGAGATAAAAGCTGTAATCTTGGCAAAGTACATAAAATATGCCTAGATTTTTTTTAACTTAAAGAAGGTCTTTTATTTCACTGGCATGGTTCCCAATAGCATCCCTCGTTCTTCATGTTCCTGAGGTCCTAGATAGTGGAATTCACAATGATTCTTAAATTTCAAGGAGGTACAGGGACCAGGTAGTAAGAAAGCATGAAGTCACATAAAGAAAAAAATTGGTCATCCTTTAATTCAGGCAGGGCCTCATTTGCATATTGTGACTCAAAAGTGTCTTCATAACTTCTATAATATCCATGTACCACTCAAGGGAGCACCAATAAAATCAATTTAGGATGCTTTAACCTAGGGATACAGTAGATGAGCCTGCCATGGCTATAATCAAAGTCCAGCTTGCTCCCTGGTGGCAGTGTGTCCAAATTGCAGGCCCAGAGCTTCGGAGTCATAAGCCCACAATGTACATGCTGAGGAGGGGCGGAGAGACCATTTAGTGACATCTTTCTAACCCTGCTTTCCTACTCCCACTCCAGTTCCATTTTATGGATGAGGAAACTGAAGCCGAATTGAACACATTGATGTTTAAATTGCAAGTGAGCCGTTTACATTGCCTGCTTTGCAAATGCAAACTGTCAATGATGTCACAGAGTGGAAGGCTGATCTTTTTTCCCATTTTCCCTCCCAGAATCATAAACTCTGTGATAAACAGGAACTAGAAGGAGCCACAGCAGAGGAAAATTCAAATGCAAGTTTGCTGTGGAGGGGCAACAAGAGACTCTAGCTCGTGTTCTTGGGAAGACTGTGTCACTTGTCAGAGCCAATTCTCATTTCTAGAGTATGAACAGAGGGACAATTCTACCTCTTTCAGAGGCTATTCCGAGGATTACCTGATAAAATGCATGCCATGTATCTGACACAGAGCCAGTTATAGATGTGCAATAAACACTTAGGCCTTTCCTTCCTCCGGGCCCAGTTTCCTAAATATGTTTAAAAGAACTCTGTGGCATGTTAACAGATGTTATACAAAAAATTATCCCATTGTCAAATGAATCAGGTTATGCTGGTTTGCATAACACCACACAGATCCCTGTTG